AGGCACCGACGAGGGCACCAGTTGTAGCCGTCGCCGTCGCCGTCGCACAGCTGGGACCTCGAGCCGCCGCGAGACAGGAAAAGGCCGACGAGGCAGGGGCCGCGTACGCCGAGCAGTGCCACTGCGCTGCCGAGGCTGGGATATCACGCCATCGTATCGCACCTCACGCGCCAGGCGAGACGGGAGGAGGCCGGCAAGGCAGGGGCCGCGTACGCCACGCGGTGCCGCTCCTCTGCTGAGGAGGATGCCCTACTGCCGCCCTCGATGGGCTCCATGGCCGCCGTCGGGCATGGCCCGTTCAGGACTTCAGGTTCGCCAGGCACCCCATGGCCACCGCGAGCGAGCAGGGCGGAGCGGCGTCACCGGCGGCGGAGCCCAGGGTCGCTGTCTAGCCAGCCATCTTCCCGGTTCTTGAGCTCGTAGCCCTTCCCCTCATCTGCGCCGGCGTGAAGAAGAGACCAGGAGAGAGATGTGTGTGCGTGAAGAGTGAAGAGACAGGAGAGGTGTGCGTCCGTGAAGAGATAAAGAGAGATAGCATGTGGTGTGAAGGGAAACCACATCATCGATCCAAACCATCCACTCCTCGGCCAATCAGGGACGGGGATTTTGTGTTTCTTCGGCTCATGGTTTTACTGAGAGTTGTCTAAAAGGCACTCGACAATAAGTTGATTAAATATAACAATTGAACCTTTAATTGTATCAAAGAATTGACATGTGTCATGCAATGGTGTATAACGAATACATCATGCTAATTTCAGTTTTTTGGACTTTGTTTTTATTTTTTTATTTCGCTCCCAAGGCTCCTCCTCTGAGATCGTGGTAACGAGATCTAGGGTTTTTCATTTTTACCGAGAGCAACACTCGGTAATAATAAGAAAAAAACTAGAAAGTTCATAAAACTTGGGAATGGTCCATCAAATATGGTATATTTTCTGTGAAAATTGAAGTGGTGCCATTTTACACTTTGTTTTTTGTGCTTGCTTTATAAAAAATACCCAATTTTTATACTTAGAAAATGGAAAATGACTTATTTTTACAAAAAAGTTAGAAACTCTATTTGGCAACATTGTTTGTAATGACAAGATGCATTCAGGCACCAAGTTTGGGCACATTATATTAAACTATGCAATGAATATGGCCATCACTTAGTCATTTGACTTGAAATCCATGGATGTTCATAGACATAGCCCGTTTTGTGAAGGATTTTTTTTCCAAATTAGTCATATAAAAAGTTTGGTATTTTTCCTCGCAACTAGTACACATAAAAGGACCCCATGCGAAAGGGTTGTATTTTTTTGAAGTTGTATTCATTTTCTTTCTTTCTTTTCAAAATGGGGTCAAAATGAATGGCATGGCTATTCATCACAAGGGATGGAATCTCTCAAAACTCTAAGTGGTTCTCCCATATAATGACTAATATCTAAAAATATTTTTTGCTAATTTTTATGACAGAGCTATCACACACTTGCAGTTCAAATTCGAATCACTTTCGTGAAATTGACGTAAAGTCATTTAAATGTGTGAAAGTAGCTAGAAAACTAGAAAATCCATGAAACTTGAGAATTGTGCATAAAATATGGAAAACTCAAAACGGTGCCCAGGCTCATCTGCTCCCTCTCAGCAAAAAATTCAAAATAAATACTAGAAAAATTCAAAAAATTCCAATTTTTTTTGTGGTGGTAGATAATTTGACGCGTGAGGTGCGCCCAAAATTCAACTCATTTGGACATCTGAGCAGCTCTCGGCAAAAAAGACAAATCGGGTCAAAACAGTGCGTGAATAGTATACATTTTTACAGACCCTGATTTTGTCTTTTTTGCCGAGAGCTGCTCAGATACTCAAATGATTTGAATTTTGGGGCGCACCTCACGCGTCAAATTATCTACCACCACAAAAAAATTTGATTTTTTTTTGAATTTTTCTAGTATTTTTTTTGAATTTTTTTCTAAGCGTGGGTGCAGATGAGCCCGGGTGCAGATTAGCCGCACTCATAAAATATGGTCTACTTACTGTGATAATTGGAGTGGTGCCATTTTGCACCCCCATTTTTGTACTTGCTTCACAAAAAACACCCATTTTTGACACTTAGAAAATGAAAATTAATTTTTTATACAAAAAAGTAGGAAACTCTATTTGGAAACATTGTTTGTAATGTCAATATGAGCCTATGTGTCCAACTTGGGAACATTATAATAATCTATGCAATGGATATGACCATCACCTTGGTCCTTTAAGTTGAGAGCCATTAATGTTCATACATGATAGTCCGTTTTGTGAAGGATTTTTTTCAAATTTGTTATATTGAAAGTTTGGTATTTTTCCTCACAACTAATACACATAAAAGCACTCCATGTGAAAGGATAGCATTTTTGAAGTTGTATTCTTTTTCTTTCATTTTCCCAAAACGGGGTTAAAATGGTAGACATGGCTATTCATCACAAGGGGTTGAATCTCTAAAAAATCAAGTGGTTCTCCCATATAGTGACTATTTGTGTACCTAAAAACATTTTTTGCTAATTTTTATGACTAAGCTATCACATACTTGCAGTTCAAGTTTGAATTACTTTCGGGAAATTGACATAAAGTCATTTAAATGTGCGAAAGTAGCTAGAAAACTAGAAAATCCATGAAACTTGGGAATTGTGCATAAAATATGGTCTATTTACTGTGATAATTGGAGTGATGCCATTTTGCACCCCGATTTTTTTACTTGCTTCACAAAAAACACCCATTTTTGACACTTGGAAAATGGAAATTGTTTTTTTTATAGAAAAAAGTGGGAAACTCTATTTGGCAACATTGTTTTTAATGTCAAGATGCACCTATGTGTCTAATTTCGGAACATTATAATAAACTATCCAATTAATATGACCATAACTTTGGTCATTTGAGACTATATAAATACTTGGCAAGCCAAAAAGTGTAATTAATATGGAATGAAATGAAAAAGTTTTCAACATGGAAATTGTCCGTCTCGTCAAAATGAACAACTTTGATTTTTGGACCATCTTCATCTGAAGTCGTATGCAACCTCTACAACCAAAACCGCGCAGTTTAGCGAAGACACCCTTTTGCCGAGTGTGACACTCGGTAAAGACCCCTTTTTGCTGAGTGTAGCACTCAGCAAAGCCCTATTTGCCGAGTTTTGTTATTTTACCGAGTGTTTTGTCCATGACACTCGGCAAAGTGCCTATATGCCGAGTTTTGCATTTTTGCCGAGTTAAGCACTCGGCAAAGATACTATTGCCGAGTGTCCGACATAATGCACTCGGCAAAGAGCCTAACACTCGGCAAAGAGGAAAATTCCAGTAGTGATAATCAATGCCTGCTTATCTAGTCTCCCAATGTTTACCATGGGTTTCTTCTTGTTGCAAGACACAGTTCATGCAAAGTTTGATATTGCCAGATCCAGGTTCTTTTGGGGTAAATAACTTGAGAAACAAAAATATCACATGGTGCATTGGCAGATCATCTGTGCTCCAAAGGAGGTTGGGGGCCTCGGTATTATCATCACCAAACATATGAATTGCTCTTGATGGCCAAGTGGGCCTCGAAAATTCTGATAGGCGTTGGAGGACTGTGCTTAGACATTATCGGGTAGAAGTATTTTCAACATGCTCCAGTTTCAATGGACACATGACATAACAAATCATAATTTTAGAAATAAATTACGTGTTGGTGTTGTGCACAAAATTGGGAACGACCAATCCATGGTGTTTTGGTTGGACGTTTGGCTCGGACCAAATCCGTTTATCTCTTAGTTCCCATGACTCTTTGCAATTTAGCGGTACCCAAACTCATTGGTCAGCGAGAATTGGCAAAACGGACGGTGGGGCCCTCAATTTTGTCGCTCCCTAGGGCCATTAGAGTTGGAGGAATGGGGTCGTCTGGTTGCGTTGCTTAGGGACACTCATCTGTCTGCTAAACCTGATTCTTTTCGTTGGAAGTTTTAGCCATCTGGGCAGTTTTCTAGTAGCTCTCTTACCATTCCTACATCATAATGCCGCTCCTTTCCAAGCAATGGATATCTGGAAAGCACACATTCCAATGAAATTCAAGATTACATTGCAACCAAAATCAAGATTTTTTTTTGGCAGTTGTGCCTGTGTGCAATAGACTACCATCGGGTGTGGAAGTGTAGAAGCTGAGCATAGCGGGGGACGACATGTGCCCACTCTATGGGAAAATGGAAGACTCAAATCATATTTTCTTCAAATGATTCTTGGCTCATTTCCTTCAGGGATGTGTCCAAGACGTCACGAGGTGCAGCTGGGCACAAACTTCTTTTGTTGCTTTTCATACCCTTAGTGGGAGGCTCACGGGTCTCTCACGCAAATTAGCATGCTTGTCTTTTCTATGCTGCCCTGTGCCCTATGGCAAATTAGAAACAAAATCTTTTATCGAAGGCATTTTTTTAAACACCCAGCTGATGCGTTGTATAAAATGGCCACATTCTTATAGCTGTGAAAACCTCTAAAGGCATCTACTATTGAGGCGATGTGTGGCAAACTCAGACACCATGCAAAGGCTCTCAGGGACGAAGGTCACCAACATGGAGATTGATCTGTCGTCGTGCGTTCATGTGTCAGTCTGGTCATGTCGTGTGCGTGTTTTGTCTCTTGAGCCTTTGGCCCGTGGTTTGTCTCGAACTTACTTATTTTTTTTATTTTCCTTGTCGTCAAACCTTGTTATAAACGCTTTAAGGCCTTGAGTGCGCTAAAGTCGTGCAAGCGCCTCCTTTCTAAAAAGGTATAGATCTAGATTAGTTAGGTATAGATATAGATATTAGATATTAGATATAGATAGATATAGATATAAATATAGATTAGTTAGGTTTACAAGATTAGGTACCCCAAATCTTCTATTAAAAAATGGTCTAGAGACGTTACATTGCCTGCCTCGCTCCTGCGCCTATAAATACGAGTGGTGTGCTTGGCTTACCTTGCGCCACACCAACTTAAGGGCATTGTGTCCAGAGATAAGCCGCGGCATCAAAGATCATGGCTAGGTCGGCGGTGCTGTCGATGTGCGTGGTGCTTGTAATGGTGGTGGGAGGGGGTGCGATGCCCCAAAAGTTGATCTGTAGTGCTAAGTTGTATATGCTTGCGCCCTGCGATCCAGTCATCAAAGAAGTACCTTGGAGTGCACCTTCGACGCTGTGCTGCTCGAACCTCCGGGCGCAGGAGGAGGAGGGCTGCATCTGCCCGTACTTGCAGGATCCGGTGTACTACGGCTACATCAATCGCCCCAACTTGCTCAAGACACTCGCCTCATGTGGCCTCTTTATTCCGCCAGCATGTCCAACTACATACTAGGAATTACGTGTTATTGTACATCTGTTTTTTACAATAATAAACGGCATCTTCGACGGGACGGATGTTGGTCCGGTGGTAGCAATATATCAAGAAACTGCAGCCGCGTTCTCACTTTTGTCTTTCACACATGTTGGCCGTTCTCTGAATGCTTCAGCACACATGATAGCACTATCTTCCGAGTTTCATGTTAATTTTTGTATTGTGTATTCTGCTCCGGATTCCAACTGGGAACTCTATATTGATGTTCGTAATTAATAACGTCAAAGTTTCTCCATCCAGGTCTTTTGAGTCAAAATTTGACCATCTACATAAATCTATCTACATCTATATCTATATCTCTTCTCTAATAATAAATGGGCTATTGCTTCTGGCGGTACGTCATTGAAATTGCCCCCAAAGTTGCAAAATATTACCCACCGATGCCATCTATCTCTACTTCTAATGGAGCACTTGATAGCCTGGTACGGTTTGTTTTTGTCCGGTTTTTCTTCGTTCCACCTCCCACCACTCCCTCATACTGGTTTATTTTTGCCTCACTTCTCACACAATGAATTTTTTTAAAACGTATCAGAACTTTCCATCATGAGGGTGCAAGTTATTTAGCAATCTTTATGTGAAAAAACAATCACCGTCAATTTCTAAAGACCAAATCTTACCATAAGTCTCTCAATCACATTAATCCATATTTTCATACATCACCAAAATTGCAATAATTGAAATTACCACACGTTGTCGAATCACATCTCTAATCTAATCCTAAAGAACAGTAGATCCTACACAGTCTTAATCGCAAAAAAAAAGATCCTACATAGTCTCTACTCCTAATCTTTTCCCAAATGAATCCCATGATCCGCGCATAGAAAAAGATCGCGTCAGCTGGCAGATCTTTTTAAAAGATCCGTCGCCTCGCGAGCCATCGGATCTGACCGATTGAGCGCCGAGCGTCATTCTATGCCATTGCAACACAGGTTGCGTTGCAGAATTTTTCTGCAACATAGGTCAAGTTACAGATATTTTTTTCAACCGAGTTCTTGCTGTAGATTTTTTTTTTTGCAACAGAACTGAAGTTGCAGAATTTCATTTTGTAGTTTTCACTTTTTCGCAACACAGGTCTTGTTGCCGAAAGATTTTTTGCAAGACATGTGATGTTTCAGAAAGAAAATACAGCGGAGGTCGTCTTCGTCGTCACCCGGTCAACAGGAGCCAACGTCGTTGATCGAGGAGAGGGAGGAGGAGAGAGGGGTGGGCAGTGGAGGAAGCCATCGACTGTGGCGGCAGAGCGCTCTCTTGCCGGTGGCAGCAGCGATGCAGCGGGTGTGTTTGCCGGCGGCATGGCTGCCAGCGCCTCGGCTAGATGAAGGAGAGATGCGAGAGAGAAAGAGTAGATTATCATAACATGAGCGTTGTTTCACAAAGTTGGAGACGCGAGACCCACAGGACACGTGCCATACCCACGAGACAGTGGACGAAGAATGCATGATCAGCCTGGTGATCCCAATCATTTCCCATAGAAAAATAACCAAGAACATCATTTTGCCCCAAAAGTTGGTCTGTACTGCTAAGTTGTATATGCTTGCGCCCTGCGATCCAGCCATCCAAGGACCTTGGAGTGCACCTTCGACGTTGTGCTGCTCGAACCTCCGGGCGCAGGAGCAGGAGGGCTGCATCTGCCCGTACTTGAAGGATCCGGTGTACTACGGCTACATCAATCACCCCAACTTACACTCACCTCATGTGGCATCTGCATTCCGCCGGCATGTCCAGTGTAGTATGGAAAAACATCTTACATTATGGAACGGAGGGAATACATAATAGGAATTACGGGTTATTGTATATCTGGTTTACAATAATAAACAGCATCTTCGACGGGATGAAAGTTCGTGTGGTGGTAGCATATATGAAGAGACTGCAACGGCGTTCTCACTTTTGTCTTTCAGACATGTTGGCCGTTCTCTGAATGCTTCAGCACACATGATAGCACTATCTTCTGAGTTTGATGTTAATTCTTGTACTGTGTATTCTGCTCCGGATTCCAACTGGGAACTCTGCATATTGATGTTCGTAATCAATAACGTGTTGAATTTCTCAACAAAAAAAACAATATAGGAAGTAGTTTCTCCCTCCGGGGTTTTTAAGGTCTCTTGTATTTTGAGTCAAAGTTTGACCATCTACATAAATAACAAAATAAAATGTATATGCTACAAAAATTATAGTAGTGGATTTTCACGGTATAATTTTTATGACATATAGTTTATATTTTTTATTTGTTAAACTTAGGACGCCGGTAACTGCCACACGTGTGGCATAATGGATATCTGACCACACGACTCGTCTGGTCGTACCCAGGAGCTAACCCACACGCCCCTGTGTGGGCGAATATTAAAACTGCCCACATATTCGGGCGCAACTACGACGGCCCACACGACCTTGTGTGGCAACTGCTCACCCCCATCCCGTGAGCGTGAACGCATGTGTAATTAACTCTAGTTGCCATGTGTAATTAACTATAGTTATCATGTCTAATTACTGTAGTTGCCATATGTGATTAACTTTAGTTGCCATGTGTAACTAATTGGAGTTGCCACGTGTGGTCAAATTATAGTTGCCATGTATGGTCAACAATAGTTGCCGTGTGTGATTAACTAGTTGCCACATATGCACAACTGTAGTTATCATCTATCAGCGTGCGAGCGTCGTGTGGGCGAAGAGCAGTTTCACCCACACATTCGGGCGAGCGTCGTGTGTCCGTTCGCACGAGGAGCGCCCACACGTGTGCCACTAATGATAACGCCCACATGACGTTGAGTGCTTACGTGACTCTCGACCCAGATGGCAATTCCTGCAATATTCATGCAAATGAATCGAACGGCATCAACTGCGTTTGGATCATGTTGATAAGCGCCACACGTGTGGGCATTATCATTTAGGTAAATTTATTGTCAAACTTTGACCCAAAATATTTGGAACAATATATTGCCGAAGGTCGGTACAATAGTAATAGCTGCCACATCATCATAATTAATTGTAATTAGCAGGCAAATAATAAATATCGTGTACTAGCTAGTTATCCATATCAAACTATCCACATAATTCCCCGCAAAAAAAACTATCCACATAATTGTAATGTAACTAGTTGAATACAGTCTTATACTTACAAATGAAACAAAATCGAGGTGACTTGCACTCATTCTAGGAGAACATACGTATCATCATGGTTCATTCAAAAAAAAACACCCCTATAGTTTTGACCAAATCTCACACGACTTGAGATATATCACTTCACATAGTTGTTCTTGTACGTAGCAGATTTATCAACAGCTCAACACTGGTTCCATGGTCACAGTCCTGCATGCAAATTTTGTATACAATTATCATAAGGAGCTCACCCTCTTCTGTTCTCTTGTAAAAGGCATTCCAAATATTCTTGTGTCAAGGGCGCTTCAATGATTCCCACCAACTTCAAGTGCTTGTGACATTACCTCATGGTGCCAGCATGTTTCTTGCATGGTGCTATCAAGTTACCTCGCTCCTGCTGTTGGTCATGGTAAAGCCACATGGCCATTTGGTTGCCTCGACAGCTCGACTCAAAGCTCTCTGAATTGAGAAACAACAATGGTCCATCTGTCCAAAATTATGTGGTACTTGATCTTCACACCGAAGTTAGTGGAAGCCCTTGAGGAAAATCATGTGAAGACTTCCAGCACTTCATTTTTGTAAGTGATGATATGCACCCATGTGTAACGAGAATAGTCATCAACTATGATAAAGCCATATAATGATGCAGAACTAGAGAACGTGGCATAATGAGTAGGGCCAAAGAGATCCATATGAAGTAATTCAAAGGGACAAGAAGTGGTCATGATAGTCTTTGAGGGATGCTTGGCTCTGGTGATCTTTCCAGACTCACAAGCCCCACAAAGATGATCTTTGAGGAATTTCACACCCTCGGTGCCAATGACATTGCTTCTTCTTCGCGAGTGTATGCAATTTCCTCATCCCAGCATGACCAAATCGTCGATGCCATAGCCAGCATTCTGAAGATTTTGCAAGTAGACATGTGGCAGGCTGTGGTCCTGCAGAGAAATCAACAATATACAAGTCTCCTTTCTTAAAGCCTTCGAAGACTTTGGAGTTGTCAGATTCCATTAGCACAAGACAACGAAATTTGACAAAGACAACAACCATATCAAGATCACAAAGCATTGAGACAGGCATAAGATTGAATCCTAAGGACTCAACAAGCATGACTTTGTCCATGTGTTTATCCTTTGAGATTGCAACCTTACCTAGACCGAATACCTTGCTTTTGCCTTTGTCAGCGTAGGTGATATGCTTCAGATGAGATGGTGACAAATCATTGTCCATCAACAAGCTCCTGTCACCAGTCATGTGATTTGTACATCCACTATCGAGGACCCACTCAGTAGCTTTGGGTTGTTCATCCTGCAGATGAATTAGTGCAACTTACGAACCCATATACTTCATTAGTGAAGAATATGATATCAATTTCATCAACAGTAACAGATATAGCAATATGAGGACGTGAGAAATGAATGATTCATTTCTTCATGATTAGCTTGCATCCTTTCAAGCACATTCAGGTCTCCAGCAAATTCTTCAGACGAGTAAGTTCGTCTAGAGACCTGACCCTTCATAAGAGATTAGTTCTTTTTCTTAACCACCCACATCTGGAGGGGTGGCAAAGAGTTCATCATTTTGCGAGCTCCATAAGAAAATGATGGCATAGAAGCCAGTGCACTTCGTTTCACAGAAGAGTGGTTAGGACAAGCATATGCATAAGCAGAGAAATTCTTCGAGGACTTATGAACATAATGGTTTGAAGAATAATGCACATATTCATGACCCTTAGACTTTCCCTGCGAAACATAAGTGTTAGCACGATGATGTTCATATGAGGATTTTGATCCGCGTGAGGAATTTGATCCATAAGAAGAATTTGGTCCATATGAAGAATTTGATCTGGGGTTCCTATTCTTCAT